AGTGAGCGAGCTAAGCTGAAAGTCAGCAAAGCGAAATGGGGTCCACAGGCAGGTAGGTTGGTTCTGCCAGGGAGGGGAAAAATTTTTTACAAAGTTTCATAAAGGGGTGGTGCTTAAACTGAGTGTTGCAAGATAAAGAGGTAGTCATGGGCCAGGGCAGGGCAGGGCAGGGCGAGTGGAGGAAGGCCAACCCTCTTACTTCTGCGTTAGGTCCTTTCCCCCCTCACCTCTTCTAGGACATTTCTCCTATGGCCATCCTCTCTCTATCACATCAGGAATTTCCCTCTTATTCCAGCCAGCTTACAAACATGCTAAGCTAATTTCTAACTCAAAAACGTCTCTCCCTGCTTCTTCCCTCCAGCGATTGCCCCATTTCTCTGTCTTCCATTATAGCAAAACTCCTAAAAATAGTAGTCTGTATTCCATGACTCCACTTTTTCTGTGTTCTATTAAACCCAATGAAATCAGCATTTCACCCCCACTCTCCAGTGAACCAGCTTTTGTCAAGGTCAAGAGTAACCTCCCTGTTGCCAAAGCCAGCTGTTGATCCAGTGGCCACACCTCAGCAGGCCTCCCACTGTGTTGCACTCGGTTGGTTCCTGTGTCCTTCTTGAGACACTTCCTCCTCTCGACAACTGAGAGAGCACTCTCTCCAGATTAGTGTTCTGTCTCCTGGACTTCTCCTTTCAGCCTCTTGCTGCCTCCTTGCCTCCCAAACATTGATCCTTAAAAATGCACACGATGGTCTGGGCACTCGCCCTCTGGGAATCCTTCAGTGACCCTCCCCTACCTCAGAATTCAAACTAGAGCCAAGTATTCAAAGCCTCCATGATCCGATGCCTGCCTCTGGCATCTCATCTTTCACATAACGTTTGTGTGGCACTCTGTAGGACAGCCAGCCCCTTCACGTGCACTTTCTCGCCACATCCTCCGGAGATCCCTGGGAAGTGAGTGGTTCCCATTTGCAGACGAGAAAGCTGAGAATCAGAGTTTCATCATTGCCCAAGGTCACACAACTTGCCAGTGTCCCCTGGACACTGAAGTTTCTGATCCCAGATCTTACGCTCTTCTCATTTACAACCCTTTGCTTGGCCTGATCCTTAAACTCCATGCTCTGGGGTGAAGCAGGGGAGTGGATGTTTGGTTCCTTCTTTTGGGTTCCAGTCTGTCCATCTGGATTTCCTCTTGAGTACAGTGGTTTACCCTCTTCACCCCAGGGGCTTGGTCCTCACGTTTGCAGGACAATGGGTGCTCTTACTGGTTGAAATGCTAAATCTCCCAAAATGAAAGGCCAGCTGCAGAGTTTGAGAGGAACAAGGGCTGAATGATTTGATCAGACATCTGTGGGGGCCTCCTGGCATTTGGAGTGTGAGTGCCTTAGAGAAACTAACCATTCTGGCCTGAGGGAGTTGGCGACTGTTAATCTTGGTGGTTTTGACCGCTAACTGCCCCAGAGGTCCCAGCCTGCTGTATGACTCAGAATCCCCAACACTCCCCCTATTCTTCTCCCACTGGGATAGTCAGGAGGCCATTGCTAAGGCATTTTAATTTGGTAATAACTTGACATGGCCCCCTGTCCCCGGGGCTGTATGTTTTAGAAGTTACTGTTGCTTTCTAAATGGAGGTGGGGGGGTTGATTTAGAGGTGCTCATCCTTGACATCTGACTACCTTGCACTGTCATGGGAAGAGCCTTCCGGGCTAGGTTCTGGCTTCCTTGTGCTCCAGCTGGCCGGTGCCCCCCTCTTTTCCATGATAGATTACCTGAGTCCATGGATCTTGGACTGCCCATAGCCCTTATTCCAGAAGCACCTTGCCAGAGGTGGACGACGTAAGCCAGAGAGAGGAAAGATGGGGCCAAAGGTTTATCTGTTGTTGTATATCTGTGTCTGTGGTACACCGTGTTAGAGGGGCAGCTGCTGTCCGTCTTTTGTCCTCAGTGTGAAACTTTCTGGAATTCAGGAAGAGCACAGGAATCCACTGCTACTAGGCAGGACACAGAGAGTGGGGGATTGGGAGACTCACAACACTTCACTGCTTGTAGACACGCTGTCGGAGAGCTGTGTGAGGCTTTCTTGACCCTCTTCTCTACCCCTGTCCATTGGCACTCACCACTTATGTGCTGTCCCTGGACTCTGTGCTTCCCTCTGTGATGGCCCTTACCACGATCCGCACTGGTGGTACTTCCTATGAAGAGCTTCTTTACTGATGTCTACCACTTACTAGCTATAGGATCTTGGATAAGTCTCTTTCTCTTTCTGGGCTCACATGTAAGTGGATAGCTAATAGCACGTACTCACATGGCTGTTGAAGACGTAATTGAAAAAAATCTGTATTTCAGTCACTGCACCTAGTCTCAGAGCTTTCCGCAAGTTCACGAAGTATACTGAAGTTTCTGTTTTGTTTCGGAAATACAGTTGTTTATATAAGAAAATACTGTTACGTAAATTGTCTTGTTAAACCTCTGACTTTTCTTTTGCCTACCAAATAAAGTCTCGACTCTGGCTTATTACTCAGCATTTGTATTTGCATTTCAGGCTTTACATTTCACTGGTAGGAAATGCTAAAAAAAATTGTAGATTTCCAGAAGAAACGCACACGGATACAGATGGGTTTGTCTAAATTCAGTGAGCAATTACTCTGTGCAAGGCCCTGGGCTAGGCCCGCAGGGGCATGGGAGTGAATCACACATGACACATGCTAGGCAGTGGCATCATCGTTTCTGGCTGTCTAGTATAGGCGCCAGCCCCCTTCCCCCCAGGCCTGCCCCACCCAGTTCCTGCAGCAGCCCCGAGGGAAGACTTACCACGGGGGGCCCCAGCACAGTAGAGCAGCTGGGCACCAGCATGTTGGCGGCAGGCCCAAGGGTGGAGGCGGGGGAGGTTGGGCCTGGGAACTGGCAGCCAGCCAGGGCTCTCTCAGGTGCCCCGGCATGCAGGGCCGCCAGCCTCAGCAGTCGCTGAATGTGTCCTGTTCTTCCATGGCGGTTTTCTCTAGACTGCACTGGCACGGATTTTGGTGGCAAGGCGGTGACTCTAGCCCCACATCGAACACATAAGGGCACTGAAGCCCAAAGACGTGAAGTGACTCGACTACAGTCACACAGCAACAAAGCCGGGGCTGGAACACACAGGTCTTCTGAAAAAATTTTCAGCAAATATACAGCAAACACTCTAGAGGGCTTGTGGGCTCTCAAGACTGTCTTGTTTTCAGTACAAGTGCAATGAGACTATCAGAGTCATTTTGTTCCTTCAGAAAATTATAGGCATCTTCTGTGGGCCCATCTCTGCACAAGGTACTGGGGATGCAGGGTTAAATCAGACTCTGACCTTGGGAGTTCACAGTATGATGAGGGAGACAAACTACCAACAGTTACAGTATAGTATGGCAAGTGCTTTTGGGGATAAGCATGTAATGTGGGTGACGGGAGACAGACTGTGGAGCACAGAAGAGGCACTTAGCCCAACCTGGGGGCTAGGGAGTGACTCCCAGTGAAGCTGAGACCTAAGCTTAGTTGTGAAGGACCAGTCAGCATGGCCAGGTGGAGAAGGACAAGGAGGAACATTCTGGGCAAAGAGAATAGGAGAGCAGCAGAGCATCCTCAACTAAACATCTAACGGTTACAGCAATAATCCCAACATATATTTGACCTATATTCAGGATACTGAGAGTGCTTCCCACTGGCGGGATCATAGTATATGTGGAGAGAGTAGAGGCAGGTGCGGCGGGGTGTGTACAACCCCACAATGAAGCCTGAAAGGGCAGGTGCCTGTGACTGTCTGGGCAGCTCTCTCCCTAGGTCTGCAGGCTCCATATTTCTAGTCTGGGAGCCTGGATGGATTTCGTGATTTCCTTGGTATTAAGCTTGCTGCAAAACCCAGCAAGTTCCTTTTGCCAAATTCTGTACAGGGGCCTTGCTAATTTATCTACCTATATTCCTTTAGAATTTTTGGTTTGGGTTCCCCACTACCCCCCGCCCCCGTCCCGGAGCCTTGGTGTGGAAAAGGGGCTGAAAGGCTGATTGTAGAGAATGAAGCGTTATTCAAGGTTCAAACAGCTACAGCTCTTTAAGAACTAATACCCCACTGACTGCTCAGTGCCTGGCAAGCTGTGACTTTCCTTTTCTTCCCATAGGCCTGCCGAGTTAGCCACCAAATACGCAAACTTTTCAGAGGGAGCTTGCAAGCCTGGCTATGCTTCAGCCTTGATGACTGCCATCTTTCCTCGGTAAGTGTTCCTATTTCTTCCCGCTGCCCAGACAGCCTGGTCCTTGGCCCAGGAGTCAGAAACTCTATGCTGTGCTCTGAGAAAGCGAAATTCTGGTGTAACTTACTGCCCTGTGTCCTTGAGTCTGTGGGTGCCTGGAGAGGACTTGTTTCGGGTTGGTTCCTGCCCCAGTCCCACTCTGTGCCCTTGCTGTACCTTACCCCCGTCCTGTCTCTGGAGCTTGCTCCTGCCAGCACAGCCTGTTTCTGTGGAGGGGAGGGGACAGGTAGAACCTATGTGGCTCTCCTTGGAAGCCAGGTACCCAGAGGCAGCCAGACAAGCCTCCTCAGCATAGAAGCTCCAAGTCATAGCATCAAAACTACGTGGCTTCAGGGAAGCATATCCAAATAAAGCAGGGAACAAAGAGAGGTTTCTGAGCCTGGCCTGGCTGTTCTGGCACCTTCTCTCTTTGTCTATTTTGCATTCTGGAGTTCCTGATTTCCTGATAACCAAGCTTGCTGGAAGAAACTGTGCCAAACCCTGGGAGTTTCTTTGACCACATTCTGCTGAGGGGCCTTGCTTACATATCTGCCTTTTCCTCTTGAGTTTTCTTTCCATGAAGCTACAGTGTGGAGAAGGACCTGATGTGCCAAGATGGGCTTGTCTGCAGTCTGGAGTGTAGTGAGACTACCAGGGTCATTTTGTTCCTTCAGAAAGTTATCGGAGTGTCTGACTTAGAGGAGCTGGAGGAAAGGCCGCTCAGGACCCTCTGGGAGTGGGGATGTAGCACTTGGACCACAGGGGAGCCCTTGGGGTGGCCTCCTGGGGTGGGGTCTGTTCACTGGGGGAAGGGCTTACATCCCATCCCTGAGAAGGCTGAGGTTAAGGCATACAACGTGCTTGCCGAGGAAGGCTGAGAAACAACTTGCCCCAAAGTAGATCCAGAATATGTGGTTTTTATGCTCCTTTTCTTTTTCTAATGGGAGTGATGGAAGCTCCTTGTCTAAAACAGGGGCTCTGCTGAATATCTGGTGTTCAGATAGAGATCTCTTTGTCTAGGGTCTGCCTTCTGACTTGCTTCCAAATATTTTTCTTCCCCCAGCTATTTATTGAGCACCTCGTAAGTGTCTGGTATTATGTTCCATATTCTTATACATCTTTTCTTAGGTCTACTTGACTCAGTGCCTTGGGCCAGACACCTACGAGTTTTCCTTGACCTGGATATAGGTGTTGGGTTTTGTTTTGTTTTGTTTTTTTACTTTTTCTTTTTTCTTTCTTTCTTTATCTATATTTTAAAATGTTTATTTACTTTTGAGATAGAGAGCACCATTGGGGGGAGGGATAGAGAGAGTGGGGGATAGAGGATCTGAAGCAGGCTCCACACTGACGGCAGTGAGCCTGATGTGGGGCTAGAACTCATGAACCACGAAATCATGACCTGAGCCAAAGTCGGATGCTCAACCGACTGAGCCACCCAGGCACCCCTTTACTTTTTATAATTGAAAGTAATGCAAGCATACGGTCAAAAAAATAATAACTGAAAATGTGCAAAAGGGTATATGCTCTCACTCTAGATCCCCAGAGATAGCCAATATTACCCAGACAGCCTGGGTAATATAAATAGAAATATCATGTATTTATTGTTTTGTATCTTGCTTTTTACTCCTAACAATATATGTTAGAGATCATCCTATTACCAGCATACATGGTAATCTTATTCATTTAATGCTTGCATAACATGATTATATGGATGTATAATAATTTTTTCAAAAGTAAGACTTATTGAAGTTTAATTTACATGCAGCAAAACTTACTTTTTGGTGTAGTTGTAGGGGTTTTGGTAAATGCACACCTTTGAGTAACCACAGCAATCCAGTAGAGCATTCCCATCATCACCTCCTGAAAGTTCCCTTGTGCTGCTTTGTAGTTAACCTCTCCCCTAACCCCCAACCCCTGGCAACCACTGAACAGTTTTCTGTTCCTGTAGCATTTTCAGAATGTTACATTCATGGAATCATATAGTATGAAGCCGTTTGAGTGTGCCTCTTTCATTCACTCTAATGCATTTGAGGTTCATACATGTATTGTATGTATCAGTTGTTCTTTTTTATTGCTGAATGGTATTCCATTGTATGGATATAACAGTCTGTTTATCTACTCAGTAGTTGAGGGGCGCCTGGGTGGCTCAGTCAGTTAAGTGTCCAACTTTGGCTCAGGTCATGATCTCGCAGTCTATGAGTTCGAGCCCCACGTTGGGTTCTGTGCTGACAGTTTGGAGCCTGGAGCCTACTTCAGATTCTGTGTCTCCCTCTCCCTGTGCCCCTCCCCGACTCCGCTCGCTCTCTCTCTCTCTGTCTCTCTCTCAAAAGTGAATAAACATTTTTAAAAATTTAAAAATGAATAAACAATAAAAAATATCTACTCAGTAGTCAAAAGACATTTGGGTAGATTCCAGTTTTTGGTGATTATAAATAAAGCCACCATAAAATTTGTATATGGGATGTCTCATTAACTCTATAAGAAATTGCCAAACTTTTTTTTTTAATGTCTATTTATTTATTTTGAGAGGGAGAGAATGTGAGTGGAGGAGGGGCAGAGAGAGAGGGAGAGAGAATCCCAAGCAGGCTCCATGCTGTCAGCGCAGAGCCTGTTGCGGGGCTTGATCTCATGAATGGTGTCATGACCTAAGCCAAAATCAAGAGTTGGATATTCAACCGACTGAGCCACCCAGGCACCCCAAGAATTGCCAAAGAGTTTTCCAAAGGAAAGCTATGTTGCTTTCCTGCCATCGTTGTATAAGAGTTCCAGGTGCTCTACATCTCTGCCCTCAGTCTTTTTAATTTTAGCTATTCTAAATTTTAGTGATATCTCACTGTGGTTTTAATTTGCATTTTAGTAATACTAATGATATTCATTTTCATTTTCATGTGCTTATTTAGCATTCTTTTATCTTTGAGGAATTGTCAAAGCTCTTGTCATTTTGTAAATTGGTTGTTTCCTTATTGAATGTAAGACAACTTTACATATTCTGGATTGAAGCCCTCTGTCATGTGATTTGCAAATATTTTCTTACAGCCTATGGCTCGCCTTTTCATTGTCTTAACAGTATCTTTTGCAAAGCAGAAGTTTTTAATCATGATGAAGTCCAATTTATAAATTTTTTCTTTTATGGATTTTGCTTTTGGTGGTTTATCTAAGAAATCTTACCCTAATCCAAAGTCAAAAGGTCTTTTCCTGTGTTTTCTTCTAGAATTTTTATAGGTTTAGCTCTTACATTTAGGTCTATGACTCATATCAAGTTAATTCTTGTATATAGTTTTGCATATGTATGTTTAGTTGTTCCAGAACCATTTGTTGAAGACTGTTCTTTCTTCATTGAATTACGTTGGCCTATTTGTTAAAAATCAGCCAAACATATGTATGTGGGGCTCTTTCTGGAATTTTTATTCCATTTCGTGGATCTTTATGTCTGTCCTTGCATTAATATCACATTAATATCACAATACGTAGACACTCATGTCTTTTTTTTTTTTTTTTTTTTTTTTGAGTAGGCTCCATGCCCAGTGTGGGGCTTGAACTCATGACCCTGAAATCAAGAGTCACATGCTCTGCTGACTGAGCCAGCCAGGCACCTCAACAATCATGTCTTCTATTAAGGACAGTTTTATTTCTTCCTTTCCATTCTGGTTGCCTCTTTTTCCTTTTTCTTGCCTCATTGCACTGGCTAGACTGATCAGTACAGTGTTGAATAGATGAGGTGAGAGTGAATATCCGTGACTTGTTTCCAATTTCAGGGGGAAGGCATTTAGTCTTTTACCATTATGGTGTTAGCTGTAGGTTTTTCATAGATACCCTTTTAGGATAGAGGGAATTCTCTTCTATTTCTGGTTTGTTGAGAATTTTTATAATGAATAATGTCAAATTTTGTCAAATGCTTCCTTTTCTGCATCTTTTGACACGACCAGATGGCTTTTCTTCTTTAATCTATTAATATAGTGAATCACAGTGATTTTTTTCGTTGACTGATTTTTTTAATGTTAAGCCAACCTTTTATTACTAGAATAAACTTCATTTTATTCTAATTTATTATTCTCTTTTATATATTGCTGGATTTAGTTCACTAATGTTTTATTAAGGATTTTTCTTTCTCTGTTCATGAGAGATTGGTCTGTCGTTTTTTTGTAACGTTTTTGGTTTTGATATCAGAGTAATGCTGACATTATAGAATCAGTGAGAAAATATTCCTTCATTTGCACTTTCCTGAAAGTTTTGTATAGAATTGATAATATTTTTCTTTAAATGATTGATAGAATGTACCAGCAAAGACATCTAGGGTTACCTAGGTTTTGTGTTAAGAAAATCCCCTTGTGGGAAGTTTTTTAATAAAAAAACATAGAATTACATTTCTAGGGGCACCTGGGTAGCTCAGTCAGTTGAGTGTCTGACTCTTGATCTCAGGTCATGATCCCAGGATCCTGGGATTAAACCATATTGGGCTCCACGCTAGGTGTGGAGCCTGCTTAAGATATTCTCTCTCTCTCTCTCTCTCTCTCTCTCTGTCTCTCTCTCTCTGTCTCTCTCTCTGCCCCTTTCCTGCTTGCACTCTCTCCTCTCTCAAAAACCAAAAACAAAAAAAACCCAAAGAATTACATTTCTAAAAAAAAAAAGAATTACATTTCTTTAATATATCTGGAGCTTTTCTATTTCTATTTGGGTTTTCCTATTTCTTCTTTGGTAGTTTGTGCCTGACAGGGAATTTGTGGATTTCCTCTAAGTTGTTGAATGTATTGGCATAATACGCCTGATATTGGTCATTTATGTATTTTCCCTTTTTTTTACTAGTCTTTCTGGTTAGAGTTTTATTGTTTTCATTGTTCTCACAGAACTAGCTTTTGGGTTCATTGATTTTTCTCTATTGGTATTTTTTTTCACTGTAATCATTATTTTTTGTTCTTATCTTTATTATTTCCTACCTTACACTTATTTGGGGTTTAATTTGTTGTTTGTTTCTTGGGATAGAA